CTCCTCCTCCGGGCCCCAAAGCAGCTGTGTGGGCTGCTATGGCTATAGTTGTGCTGTAGATTGCTATCTGCAAGGAATTAATGAAGTTTTAATTTGTGAAGTTCCTGAAAGGTTGACAAGGTATCGTATGACAGATCCAGATTGGCAGTGACTCCCTCTAGTGGTATTTGACGTTCATCAGCAACAAAGCGGTAACGCTTCATCACTGTCAGGACTCATTAACATGAACTTAGGTGCCATTTTTTAATTGGGCTTCAGCCGGTGCTATAAAACCACCTTGCGTTCTTTGTGTTATGTTGCAGAGTGCGGCGCTGAGAAGCACAGCCTGGGGAGAAGTAAAGATGAAGATGGTGTCACCTCCCGAGTGGGAGTACTGAGTCCATAGTTGGGTTTTAAGTCTGCTTTCTTCCTCCCTGGTCTTTAGTTCTCACTCCTGTTTCCAACAATTCTCTCTTTTCTTGGAACTCCTTTCCACCTAATATCAGGCACTCCCCAACCTTATACCTAATATAATGCACCCTCAATGTGGTCAGACCAAAACGTTTCTTCTAGTTTTTAATGGAGTGCAGAAAGCCTGGAACTCCTGTTGGGTTTTTACCGCTATCAGAGGCTCCCATAGAGACATTTTCACTCACTTCCTGTCCTGGTGACGTCACAAGAGAGAGAAAATCTGCAACAGGGACACAGACCGAAACTAAACACAGTTTGGACTCCTAAAGCATCCGTTTGGCGCTTTTGGTTTATATACACAAAGGGATGGATTTATAACACGCTCTCCGCACATTAATCCTAGAATAGGAATCTCCTACGCTCCTCGGCTCCACCTAGTGGCAATAATGTTGTGTGAACATCGTTCTCCCGTCTATATGCTGAGGGAACCTGTTATGAATCAGTCCTATGTGTATATAAACCAAAAGGAGAGCCAAACCAATGTTCTAGTTGACTTTCTAACTGACGTTCTAGTAGAAGTTCTAACCGTTTTCCTAGTTGACGTTCTAACCATTGTCCAAGCAGAAGTTTAAACCTATGCTCTAGTTTAAGTTCTAACCGTTGTCCTAGTTGAAGCCCTAACCGATGTCCTAGTTGAGGTTCTAACCGTTGTCCTAGTTGAAGTTCTAACCGTTGTCTTAGTTGAAGTTCTAACCATGGTCCTAGTTGAATTTCCAACCGATGTTCTAGTTGAAGTTCCAACCGTTGTCCTAGCTGAAGTTTAAACCTATGCTCTAGTTTAAGTTCTAACCAATCTTCTAGCTGAAGTTCTAACCAATCTTCTAGCTGAAGTTCTAATCGTTGTCTTAGTTGAAGTTCTAACCGTTGTCCTAGTTGAAGTTCTAACTGTTGTCCTTGTTGAAGTTCTAATCGTTATCCTGGTTGAAGCACTAACCGATGTCCTGGTTGAAGTTCTAACTGTTGTCCTGGTTGAAGTTCTAACCGTTGTCCTGGTTGAAGTTCTAACCGTTGTCCTGGTTGAAGCTCTAACCGTTGTCCTGGTTGAAGTTCTAACCGTTGTCCTGGTTGACGTTCTAATCGATCTTCTAGTTGCTTCAGTTAAAGGAGAACTATGAGGGGGGTGCTTTTTACTCACCTCCTAGTTCTAGCCGACCTGTGACAATGAGACTGTCACAGGTCGGCTCAGTAGATCGGGAGGTGAGCGAACACATACCGGCGTTCGCTCACCTCTCGATCCTGTCACGGCTCTCTGCCGTGACAGGGGAGGGGCTGGATTCCCCTCTCCCCGCTCTGATCTGCCAGTGCTGACTGGCGGAACGGACGGGGGAGGGGGCGGGTACTGCTGGCTCTGCCTCTAGATAGGCAGAGCCAGCTGTCACTCACACAGCTGGGCGGATCCCGTCATCTAAGTCGGGATCCGCTCCGGCTGCAGCGTCTCAGTATACCGCGAGCTGTAGCTCTCTATATACTGAGCTTAGGGTGACGGGAGGACGCTAGTTTGTGTCCTCCCGTTACCCTAAGGAGAACTATGGGGAAAAACACTGACCCCATAGTTCTCCTTTAAGTTCAAACTGTATTTATTTGATTCCTCTAGTGACAGCAGGAATGAACAATCCCCCTTCATCAGGGCTACAAAAGACATAAATTAAAATCATACAATTGGATTCAGCAGAAGTAGAGACATTCATCACACACACTGCAAAGGTTTGAACACAATATCCCATCATATGTGTCTATCTGCTCTGTGTCCAATTGTATCATTTTTTCTGCTGATGCTGCTGTGCTAACACACACACACACACACACACTAATCTGGTGCTGCATTGGTGCCTCCTGATTGTAGGAGAGGGTTTGTGTGAGTTCAATCACATGGGTGTAGACTGGGATGAAGTTGTATGATTTGGGGGAGGGGACAGTCACATTTACCTGTTGTGTCGCCAAGTGTGGAGACAGACACAGAGCAGAGGGATGTCGGATTCAGTGTTCTACCAGGGACTGACCCTTCTGGGGTTCCTGGCTCTGGGCCACCTGGTTCTCAAACACACCTTCAAGCTGCTGAAGGGGTTCCGAGTCCACATCCTGTCCCGATGGTGGAGGGTTAACCTTAAGAAGTATGGGGGTTGGGCAGGTAAGTGTCTCTATGTATAGACACTGCTGCTACATTGTGGTCTCTATGTATAGACACTGCTACATTGTGATCTCTATGTATAGACACTGCTGCTACATTGTGATCTCTATGTATAGAGGTTTGAACACAATATCCCATCATATGTGTCTATCTGCTCTGTGTCCAATTGTATCATTTTTTCTGCTGATGCTGCTGTGCTAACACACACACACACACACACACTAATCTGGTGCTGCATTGGTGCCTCCTGATTGTAGGAGAGGGTTTGTGTGAGTTCAATCACATGGGTGTAGACTGGGATGAAGTTGTATGATTTGGGGGAGGGGACAGTCACATTTACCTGTTGTGTCGCCAAGTGTGGAGACAGACACAGAGCAGAGGGATGTCGGATTCAGTGTTCTACCAGGGACTGACCCTTCTGGGGTTCCTGGCTCTGGGCCACCTGGTTCTCAAACACACCTTCAAGCTGCTGAAGGGGTTCCGAGTCCACATCCTGTCCCGATGGTGGAGGGTTAACCTTAAGAAGTATGGGGGTTGGGCAGGTAAGTGTCTCTATGTATAGACACTGCTGCTACATTGTGGTCTCTATGTATAGACACTGCTACATTGTGATCTCTATGTATAGACACTGCTGCTACATTGTGATCTCTATGTATAGACACTGCTGCTACATTGTGATCTCTGTATAGACACTGCTGCTACATTGTGATCTCTATGTATAGACACTGCTGCTACATTGTGATCTCTGTATAGACACTGCTGCATTGGGATCTCTATGTATAGACACTGCTACATTGTGATATCTATGCATAGACGCTGCTACATTGTGATCTCTATGTATAGACACTGCTACATTGTTATCTCTATGTATAGACGCTGCTACATTGTGATCTCTATGTATAGACGCTGCTACATTGGGATCTCTATGCATAGACACTGCTACATTGTGATCTCCATGTATAGACACTGCTACATTGTGATCTCTATGCATAGACACTGCTGCTACATTGTGATCTCTATGTATAGTACACTGCTGCTACATTGTGATCTCTATGTATAGACCCTGCTACATTGTTATCTCTATGTATAGACACTGCTGCTACATCGTTATCTCATCTCTATGTATAGACACTGCTACATTGTGATCTCTATGTATAGACGCTGCTACATTGGGATCTCTATGCATATACACTGCTGCTACATTGGGATCTCTATGTATAGACCCTGCTACATTGTGATCTCTATGTATAGACACTGCTGCTACATTGTGATCTCTATGTAGATTGATATCATCAACAAAGTCAGTGAAAATGGTCATAAAAATGAAGGCTTTCCTGTGTTATCTGCACGGCTGCTGAGCTCCAGTCACATGACCTGATTAACACCAATAAAGTTGGTGCAATGTCAAATATTTATATCATAAATTCCTCACAGACACCGGAACCTTCTCTGAGTCCTCCATTTATGACTAGGAACATAGTGAAGTCAAGGGGGGTCCTCAGAAGAGGCTTCAGTCTGGTAAAGAACCAGAGCTCAGGGACGATTCCCTCTGCCAATCTGATCACTGAACAGAGTTCAGTCCCATCCAAAGACCATCAACAAAGTCCAGTTCAGTCCTGTCCAAAGACCATCAACAAAGTCCAGTTCAGTCCTGTCCAAAGACCATCAACAAAGTCCAGTTCTTTCCTGTCCAAAGACCATCAACAAAGTCCAGTTCAGTCCTGTCCAAAGACCATCAACAAAGTCCAGTTCTTTCCTGTCCAAAGACCATCAACAAAGTCCAGTTCTGTCCTGTCCAAAGACCATCAACATAGTCCAGTTCAGCCCTGTCCACTGACCATCAGCAAAGTCCAGTTCAGTCCCATCCAGAAGTCATCAACAAAGTCCAGTTCAGTCCCGTCCAAAGACCGTCAACAAAGTCCAGTTCAGTCCTGTCCAAAGACCATCAACAAAGTCCAGTTCAGTCCTGTCCAAAGACCGTCATCAAAGTCCAGTTCAGTCCTGTCCAAAGACCATCAACAAAGTCCAGTCCTGTCCAAAGACCGTCAACAAACTCCAGTTCAGTCCCATCCAAAGACCATCAACAAAGTCCAGTTCAGTCCCATCCAAAGACCATCAACAAAGTAGGGGGGAAGGGGCAATGCTGTCCATGAATCGGCCGGTTAGTCCGGGGGGGGAGAGGGGCGGCGTTGCTGCCTTGCCTAGGGCAGCAGCAAAGGTAAATACACCGCTGATTGGAGGCCCCAGTACCGAAAACCATCAAAGTTAAAAGAAAAAGGGAAAAACCTGTTTACTGGACTCAACAAACCATTCTTTGTTTAAATCTGAAAAACAACGATCAAAAGATTATCTTTTGTTAGCTGTTTTTTGAGTCCAGTAAACAGGTTTTTCCTTTCTTCTTTGAACTCTGCAGCCTTCAATGCAAACATTTCATGATGCAAATTTTTTGATGTGAATAATGTGGATGCATTGATTACATTTTGCAAAAGGTGGACTATTCCTTTTAAGTTGTAGAACCGGTCCAAAGGTTAGCTGGGAAGTGATAACCTCGGAGGTCCGTCTGAAGTACAGATAGAAGCAGTGTTTCCAGGATGTGCTCAATCCTACAGTGGAAGTGAGGCCAGGTCATCATCAGAAAGGAGGGTTGTTATACATAAATAGGAGGAAGCAGGGGCGTAACTAGAAATCACAGGGCCCCATAGCAAAAGTTTGTATGGGGCCCCGTGATTGTTTGTTATGCCACATGCAGGGCCCTCCTGATATACCAAACAGCCCACCTGAGAGTGACCCTGCAGAGCCCACCATAGACTCTCTATAGTGGGCTCTGCATGGTCTCAGATGGGCTGCACACCTCTTACCTGTCAGGGCTGTCCGCTGTCTGCCTCCGTGGTGCCCGGGCCCCGCCTCCTCTTCCGTCCCGGGCCCCGCCTCCTCTTCTATCGACGGGCCCCGCCTCCTCTTACATCACTAGCTCTTAGGTCGCCAGCCCGGGCCCCGCCTCCTCCTTCACTCCGAACGCCGGCCTCCTCTGCAGCAGCTGCTGAGCTGTGTCAGTGACAGCCAGAACCCTGATATGCCATAGCAACCCAGGCGGCCCACACGGCATCAGAGGGATGCCCTGGCCCCCTTGTGCCCGGGCCCATAGCTACCGCCTGGGTCGCTATGGCGATTGTTACGCCACTGGGAGGAAGGTAGAGGTGACCATATTTCCCTTTGCAAATACCATAAAGTCACTCGCACTCCGTTTGTCGATAGCAGTCAATCTCCTTTATTGACTGAATGACGTTTCAGGACCAGGCAGTCCCTTCTTCAGTCACACTTTTGTCCGCCTGAAGAAGGGACTGGGTGGTCCGGAACAGATCAGGGCAGCCATCAGAAATTTTAGGGCCCCTTACACGGCTTTAGGCCGGTCCCCCCCCCCCCCCCCCCCCCGGCCGCCGCGCGCGGCGCGGGGT